TTTTTTTTTTTTTAAATTACTATTTGTTGTTTTACGATATTTGTTAAATTTAAAGAGCAAAAAGCAATTATTATATAATTTTCAAAATAATTGACCTTTTTTTTTTGGATCTGAAGATTAAATTATTTTTTCGTTGGTAAATTAGAAAGTTAAAAATGATTAAAGAAATAAACCATTTGTCGTCCTAATAAATTTTGGTGCAAATGTCTCAAGATTGAATTGAATTTAAAAAAGGTGTGAAGTCAAAATTTTAGTGATTCTTCTTTTCATTTTAAATTTCATATATGCTCAATAAAGAAATATTAAAGAACAAAAATGAATTTTGCTAATAGTTTTTCACCAAACTTATTCGGTCGATTAAGAATTGAAAAGATTTTTGAATGTGAATATTTTTGATTGATGAAATTGTTCGGATTTACTGACTCACTCACTCACTTTTGCATTTCCCAAGAGGGATTGAAGAAGTGCGGAAAACTGTGAGTTCATCAGGGTCAAACAAAGCGGCAACATCAATTCCGTTACCATAATCCGCTGGGATTTCTCAGTGAACAGGAACTTCTTTATCCTTTTAACTTCAGGAAAATGAAATATTATAGGCAGAAAATTCAATTTTTACAATTGAAAATGTTTGCTATGGTATTATTATTTATCGTTTGTTTATATTTTCATAAAATTGTCAAACTACCCGTCTCGAAGTACTTTATTACTGAATTGGGACTATTGCTTAAAAGTGCTAACTATTCAATCTTATTCTTCACATGTATTTTTGGAAACACAAGTTTAGTTCTTTCACTCTTTCTTTCTTCTTTTAAACAAAAAAAAAATTAAATTTAGAAAGAAAAAGTTATTTAGAAAATGAAGTAAAAATTTGAAGGACAAAATTGCTTTGGAAATTTTGAAATTTCACTTTTTTCTTTTCTTTGACAAAAAAAAGGAGGAAAAATTACGGGAAAGAATTGGATATAATTTCAAATTGCTTGCAACATGCATTTGTATAAAAAAATTAATTTTTTATATTCAAAAAAATCATGGAATTATATTATTTTGTTTCACGAAAACTTTAATTTTAAAACTTATCATAACGAATAAGATGTAAATTATTGAGTGCATTTATTAAGTGATGGAATAATGTATTATTTCATTATAGTATTGGAGAGTATTGAAAACATTTCGAACACAATAAGCCTTATTTCTTGTAATTCTTGTGAATTGCAAATCTTTTTTTGTACAGAATAAGCAATAAAAAAGAGGAAAGAAACAGAACATTGATAAAATATTATCAACGGGTCAAAGGTCAACTGAGATAAATCATGGCCTAATGAAGTCATAAAAGAACGGAATAAAAAAAAGAAGCAATATACTATTACTAATTGCAATAAATTTCCAAAAAAGATTGGCTGCATTTTTAAGCGGTGCGGCTTTATTATTCAATTGTCACCAAATTAAATACTAACCAAATTACATAATGAATGAGTAATTATCATAACTATTTCTCTCTTTCTCTTTTTGCATTTGATAAGACAAAACATCACTGATCATCCTAAAATTTATCATGTTTAAATTTAGTTTAAATTTGTAATTTTCAATTCCCTTTATTTTATTTTCTTTTCATGTTTAATTTCTATGATATATTTGATTTAATTTTATGAGGATATATATGAAAAATTAAATTCAATTTAATCTTTATCAAATTTTAACAAAATGAGAAGTGACTATAAATATTGGTGCTTTGTTCTTCCCCCGGGAAGTCGTATATCATTGATTGGGATAATATTGCTTCTTTATGATACCCACAAATCGAAACCATCAAATATTTCTCGCCTAATATCTTTGAAATTTAATCTAATATAGCAGTAGTAGCACAGTATGTTTTTGCTGCAACCATTTAATATTGATCATTTCCCATAAATATGCAAATATCGAATAACAATTAATGACGGAGGAGTGGAAATACCGGAATTTCGAATAATTATTTAGGAAATCATCAACACAAGTATTAAAGCAAAAATGATAGGAGGAAATCGGAAATTCGAAATGATTATTCGGCAATTTGAAAAATTCTGAATTTTTATTTTTTATTTGCAAAATTGCTAAATGTAATAAATGAATTTCCATTTATTTTTTTTTTTTCATTTATTTTTAAATTTTTAGGAATTTAAATAAAAACAATGCAATTATATATTTTTGAAGTTACATCAATTTCACAAATTTTTTAAAATTCTATATTAGATTGTAAATATCAAAATTTCAAAATCATTTTGCTGCAAATTTAATGCATAAAATAAATGATTTAAATATTAAATGATTTCAATGAAATATAATTATTTCATTTATTTTGATTAGTATTAGTAAGTTGAAGCAATAAATGCTCGCAATAAATGCCATCAAATATTTTGGCCTTGTGGCCTTTTTCTGAATTGTGCGAAAATTTCCCATGAGCATTCAACATTCATTCAAATCAACCTTTTATGACTTCTATCAATTTCACAACTTTTCAAATTTGATATTTTACGGCAAATTGTTTGTCAGCAATGTATACACATTGAATGTATGCATAAATATCTGTTAAGAAATTCTCAATTTACCATAAAATATCCTAAATAATAAATCAATGACAACATTAATTATTTTCCTTGAAATGGATAATTTAAATATGAAATATTTTAAATTTAAACTAAATTATTATAAATAACTGCATAAATGTAATTTATGCATGCATATGTGGATTGCAAATGCAATAATATTCGTGATGCAATTATTCTTCTCTGTTTAAATCTATCGTAAGCGTATTGCGAAACTTTTAAATCATTTCAAATTTATTGGCTAACTGCTCAAATACATTTTTTATTGTATTTGCAAAGTTTAAGAATGATAAATATATTGCATTCTTTGCTATGATCAGAATTTAAAGATTATTTGACGAATGATTACAATTGTTTAAATGAACGATTTAATTTGAGGAAAAATTAAGTTTTAAATTATCACATGCATTGAATAGGAATAATTACATAAAATAAATAATTCTTATTGGATTTCTCATCATTTCTGAATATAATATTTACCTGTACAAGTAAAAAGATTTGTTGTGATAAGTGTAAACTAATGAGAATGATAGATATAATTTGCATTTCTTAAACAACAACAATTTATTGCCCCTTAAATTTGCTTTAAAATTAGGCCAAACATTTTTGTTGGATTTTGTGAGCGGCGGTATCGTCTTTTAAAATTTATTTGTTCATAATTGATTTCCTTCTTCCTCACTTTCTTCATTTCTATTTCCTCTTCCTCTTCAAGACAATTCAATCATCGTCCAAGCGCTCACCTATTGAATGATACAGAAATGCAAATTAACCCAATCTCTCTATCATGCTTTCTCTCATTTAACTTCCCCGATGTAATATTCTAAACTGAGAAGGGAATCGAAGAATATGTGAAATATTTTTGAATGAAGCGAATTAATAACAAAAAAAGGTAGGAAAAAAAAACCATGTTAAATCACATCGAATAGTATTATTTCATATAAATAATTTTAAAAAATTTTGAAATTTGAAATAAAAAAAAGTTTTGGAATTAGTAAATTAAAAAAAATTGATTTCACCTTTTTAGTAATATCAATGAACCCTTTATTATTTTTAAAATTCATTTTATCAATTCCAATAATTTCCCGATCTATTTCCGTTTATTTGTAGAAATTTTCAATACGATATGGTATTATTTAAATAATAGAGAAGTTTTTCAGTCATACATGTCAACTGGAATGAATGTATCAATCAGTATTTTAATTTTTATCATAATAATTTTAATTAGGAAGTTTTGTAAGCATTTACTTTGCTAAGCTTTTTTGATATAATTCTTAGCTAAAATTAACTTTTCATTTCACATTTCATCTTATGAAATTTGCTTGAATTATTATATAAAACATTATAATGAGAAATTTTTTAGATTATCATTCTATTTTCATTGAACAAAAATTTTCAAATTTAACTATTTTTAAAATGGTTTGTTTGATATAATTTTATCTCTTTGCTTATCCAACTAAGCTTAACTTTTCTTGTCTTTCTACATTTTCCATTTATTTTATTTTGAAATTTGAAACTAAAATACAAAAAAAGAAATGGGAAAAAAACAAAAAAAAAGAAATCCCTCAGGAAAGAAGTAAACTTTACAAAATAAAATTAACCTCCAAAAATGATAATCAACGATTGTCGTCAATTTGGAAATCGTAAAAATTACCATACGCAATAGGCTCGTAATGCCTCTCCATCATATGTCCAAAACATTAAGGCCATTGTAAATCTTCCATATTGTATTACTGTGTACAAACAAATACACACATACACTCACATACACATACACACATACACTCACATACACATACAGAGAATAGATTCTATGGAAGGATTATTTGTTTTTGGTGTCATTTTTATGATTGATTAAGCGTAAATGTGTATTTATTGTGCGCAAAATCATATCCTTCAAATGGAATTAAATGATTATTGAGGGATAGATAATTGTTAATTTTAAAAAGGTTAAAAAAATTTTGGGATACTATAATTTAGCATACATCAATTAATATGTTAGCTTCTTCGTTTTTTTTTTTTCGATTGAAAAATGAATTGATATATTTAATGGAAATCAAGTAATATTATTTAATGATTTGATTGATGATGAAATTACTGATAATATTGTTAACTCTGAAATCTTTACCTTTCTAAGCGATAATTGCTATTAGTATTAAATGGTAGAAAAAGTAATGATTGAATGATATTAAATCATAATTATCTGTCATTTGGTATACTGATGATATATGTTATCATTATTATTCAGAGGGATAAGTAATAATATAGTAACAATTATAGTTGTCCGGTGAATAATAACCATGATAGTGATAAAAATATAATAATTTATTAGTGTTATTATCAATGTAATGATTATGCATTTTTAGAGCTTCAAACTGATGAAGATGGTAATCCGATTTGTTTGCTTTGTGATGAAAAATTGAGTTCTGAAAATGATTGGATTGAACATATCGAATTGGAAAAATCGAAACTTATCAAAAATATTGCTAAGTAATAATGTTGATTTTTCATTTTCAATTTTTTAGCTATTTTTTTAATTTTTTGTTAAATCAAAATTGCATGGTATATGTAGGAAATTTTAAATTTGTAAAATTTTAGTTTGAAAGATTATAAAACATCATCTGATAATTTATTGCTATCACCAATATCTGAACAATGTCGACGAAAACGTGAATACGAATTATTACGTATTCGATCAAATCAGCAAAAAAGGCTTGGATGTAAGATTTGAAGTTTATTCTATTATATTTCAAAGAAATTAATTTTTTTAAGAAAACTTTTTTTAATTTATAATAAAAATTATTGTTTGCTTCAGTTTCAAGTTAATATGATTAAAATTTTATGCAAATAATTTATGTGCTAAATTAATCGAAAAAAGTGAAGTGAATTTTAAAATTTTGTTTTTTAAAAAGAAAAAAAAAAGAAAAATTAAAGTGAAAAATCGTGGATGTCGTGAAGATTCTAACAGTCAATTGAATCGTCCAACAAATAGCAGTACATGCTCGATGATAATGCCGCAGGCAATAACTGACCAAAGTGGAAATACGAAAAAAGCATGTGAGGAGCAGCTTCCGGGAAACAGCAATTTCTGTCGATTTTGTAAGGTATTTCTTTTTTTTTCATACATTGGTTTTTAAATTTCCAATTATCAAAATTTCAAAATTCAATTTTATTTTCTTTAATTCTCATATATATGTTGAACTAATACAAAAGTAAAGGCTAGAAAAAAAAATCCTATAAATTAAAATGTATGACTACTGCTTATTTGTTTCTGCAATAAATTAATAAATTTTGCGAATTATTTAAATCTTGATTATTGGAAGAATATGTATTTATAGTAAATGAAATTGATCAAAAATGATTGTTATATAATTGGGATGAGAGAGTTTCATTTTTTTTTTTTTTCAATAAGAAATGGAAGAAAAAAAAAATTCAGTGACTGATTTATAATGTATATTTTTATGCTTTTGTACAAGTTGAAAAGTAGTAATAAAACGAAAAAAAAAAGTGGTACAGTAAGCATTTATTGATACCGTACGATCAATGAAATCAATACTAAAACTTGCTGATATTTGATATTATATGAATTTTTCATTGTTTAAATTTATTTTAAATAAATATTGATAAATTTTGTAAGACGTACTACTATCTATTGTA